CTCAGCTGCCTTGTTTGTCATTCTGGTCATCTGATCCGTTGCACATGAGTGGAAGTTAAGAGGTTGTTTGACTTCAAAGTCTTGCCACCTACTTTGTCTCGGTGGAGCTCCCCTAATCCTCTACTTGTAGCCACACTGTTGAGGACAGTGGACTCTTTTGCAATTTGTTTTTGAAATTCATGACAAAGGCTACACAAAACCTTCTAATATTTCACCACTTTGAACTGTAACGTACCATAGCATGAGATTATTATGACCTACTCACACAACCACGCTGGAATGAAGCCAGCTATGAAATCAGACTGTAATCATTAGAGTTGAACTCTACGACATATACCGTGCAGTCGAAACTGCTCTGAGACCATACTGGAAATCTGTTTCTTTTTCTTCCAAATAAACATTTTTGAATGAATGTTGATGTCAAAATTTAAATGCATTATAATATTTGAAGGTTTGTTTGTTATATGTTTTTAAATGCACTATACTTTCTAAAGGTGTAATAATAGATAAGTATTATGATGTATTATAATTGTGGTTACAATTATTCATGAGATACAGAGATGAAGGTGAACTGCAAGGCATAATTAATGCATTAAAACTACTTAAAGGATTCATTATATATAAAGGATTTAAGTAAAGTGTTACCACAAATTCAAATCTTTATAAGCAGTAAAGCAGTTAGACGAGCATTTGGGGTTAAAAAAGTTTTTTAAATTTAAAAAAAAAGAAAATGACCAATTGTTTCACTAGATACGACCCCTGTTCCTCGGCTGGGATCGTGTAGAGCTCTTTGAAGCTGCATTGAAACTGGACCTTCAACCCGTTGGCCACCATTTAAGTCCATTATGTGGAGAAAAATCCTGGAATGTTTTCCTCAAAAACCTTAATTTCTTTGTGACTGAAGACAGAAAGACATGAACATCTTGGATCACATGGGGGTGGGTAAATTATCAGGACATTTTTATTGAGAACTAACCATTTAAACTCAATTACAGAGGTGGACAGTAACGAAGTAGTTTTACTTTGTTACTGTACTTAAGTAAATTTTTCAAGTATCTGTACTTTACTGGAGTAGTTTTATTTTGAGTAACTTTTGCTTTTACTTCACTACATTCCAAAGCATAAGATCGTACTTTTTACTTCACTACACTTCATTAAACTTATCGTTACTCCTTATAAAATATCACATGCTCCGAGACGCAGAAGCGGTGTCTGATTCATGAACGAATAACTGATTCTTTTCAATGAACCCGTTAAATCAGTTCGCAAATCGCACCAAACGGTTCATTCACGAACTGGAATGATCCGATTGCTGCTGTTCTCGAGTCGACAACTCACTGATTCAAATGATCTGTTTAGTGCGAGTCTCCAGTGAACTGAATTCACAAGTAAGAACCGGGAGATCTTGTGAGTGCGATGCTGTTAAAAGTAATTTACTAATGTCGAATTTTAGGATTAATTATTGTAACTGAAAATCATATTTAGGTCAAAGCTGTCAGATGTTTGTGAACTAAATCTGCTGTAAAGGGTGATCTGTTTAAGCCCACTGAAATGCTTGAATGCAGACACATTAACATCAGAGTCTCTATGTTTTAGGTAAAAAAAACATTAAAATAACTAAATACAATAAATCATGCACGTTCATCTTCCCCGCTGCTGTAACGTTAGCAGTTTTACTAGAATGCTATGCATTTAGCCCTAAGTGACGTCTGTTTATATAGTGTTTGTCAGCACACATAGCCTAAGTTACTATGTATCTGGATCAACTAGCCGAGTAGACAAATATAATGAAAATCGAATTATATTTTCCTTATTATATTCATTATTTCCTTTTTGGTTATTTTGGGAAAATACCAGGTATTAAAAAAATATATGCTAATATAAAATTTAATTATAAAATTAGACTATATAAAACTGCAAAAGTGTACTTTCACTCGAGTAAAATTGAAAACTGAGTACTTTTACTTTTACTGGAGTAAAAAAAAACTGCACTGTGGTGGTTTGTTGTTAAGAAATAAATAATAAGCCATTATAATTGTGTTTTTGTGTAAAACAAATATAATACAAAATAACAAAATATCATACAAATGAGTTCTGTAAAGGTTGCACAGATATTTTGTTCATTCTTTTATACATACGTACAGACATTTGTACAAAGGGATGGCCGGGTAAATGATAATACCTCTAGAGTCACCACTGCTATCACCACAGGTCCGGTTCACATATGTACATGCTAACAGCAGGGGCAAAGCAACATTTACAGGCTGCAGAATCAAAGGGATGTAGAAGAAAAATGGACTGTTCCTTCATAAGGTAGTGCAGTACATGGTCAAACCGTCATGTGCACCATTAGTGCTCTTTTTTGATTGCATGATCAGGATGAAAATATTCAGATATTGACTTAATAAAGCTCAGTATTCAGTCTCAAACTGATAAATGATGGAGAACCTTGTATTTTGAAGACTGAGGGCTGTTCAGGACACAGCTGTCCTTTCAGAATAACCCTCCACATGGAACTTCTGGAAGATTTTTTTAGTTCAAATCTCAAATCTCTGAAATTACAGAGTATGGTAACGTTCGGAATAGCACACTTCCATACTACTCTTACTATTCTTAAAGTATACAGTTTATATACTGCGCACTGTATGCAAATGTACTGTATGCTTGGAATATCTAGACGACCTACTACTGTCAAAATGTGCAGTTTTCAACAGAGCTGAAAAGAATACTGTACCCACAATGCAACCTGCTTGATCTGATCTTCCATTTCCAGCATAATTAATTACCGGAAGTGTATGTGATATTTGTGATATTTGTTTCTCTCACAAACCAGTGAGTCTTGTCAACAGCACTGATTGCTGATTGAACTTTTCTTGACAGATGATTGATTTGACCAATGAAATTGGCCGTGGGGCGGGGTTTGTGCTTAAAGGGATAGTTCTGTCATCATTTACTCACCCTCAGATTTCTCTTGGATGACTTTCTTTCGCTTGTGGAAGACAAATAATGTTGGTTACCAAACAGCTTCGGTGCTCACTGAGTTCCACTGTATTAAGTGGGGGAAAAAACTATTAAAATAAAATATTCTTATTATAACTTCTTTTATGTTCCACATAAGAAAGAAAGCCATATAGGTTTGGAATGACATGAAGGTGAGTAAATGATGACCACATTTTTGGGTGAATTATTGCTTTAACTGGTTTGAAAAAAATCACATGTGATATTTAATTACCTTTCTTGACTCATTATTTGATTGGTTGCCAAATGTTAAACCCCATGGGAAGTAACATTCACAACTTATTTTCCTTCCAAAATCAGATTTCCAGGATACTCAACAAGAAAAAAAAGGAGGGTGGAACTTTAATCAATTGGGAACTGATTTTGATTGTGAAAAGTAGGTGTTGCCAGAATGTAATCAGATGATTGGAATGGAGAGGATCTGTGGGGACAAACAAAAAGAGAAGCCAGTTCTGAGGTGGAGCGAGTCATACCTCAAGATTTCAACATGATTTCAGTTTGAATTTGACACATAATTGGATTAAAAATGCAATGGAACTGGATTTAATTTCAAGATGATAATTGGATGTTGCTGAATGAACCAAGATGAGGTCATGTGACAACAATTATTTGAATTGTTGCAAAATCTTTTGTTTCACATACTATACATCATATCTGAGACTTCTGAGATCAAAATCCTGCTGTTATAGTGTGCTGCAGGGATGACAGCTATTTGCAGGCCAAAACCCAGAAACAAGTTTGCATTTTAGCACTCCCAGTTCCATCGTCGATGTATTTTTTAAATGTCTGAAATAAGGCCTGTATAGAACACAAGCTCAATATATTTTTACATATTGTCGGGGACATTAAACATCATCATGCTGAGCAGGTAAACTCGTCTAGAGACTAGTCCACTTTTACAGCCTTGTGTTTATAATGGCGCGCCCGCAAATTATTTCTACTCAAACTTTCAGGGAAAATGTTTCTTAAAGACTGAAAGAGTTGTTGTGACATTGAAGCAATGCGACTGTGGCTTTTTACTTCTGGCGATTGTAGAAGATCATCATGATGAACAAAATGTGTACGAGCCTATTTTCTGCAATAATCCAAAAACCAATGGGAAAGGGTGATGCTAACTTCTGGGCTGGCCTACAAAAACACATCAGCGCTCTATTCTGTCTGGTTTTCTCATGTGATGCATTATGATTTACTGACTGTTACTGATTCTAGTAAACAGTTGTTTCCTTATATTGTACTGTTTTTTTTTTATTTGATAATGAATTCATATATCATCCGAACACAGTGGTACACACAAACATGTGTCTTGGGCTACATTAACAAATAAACCTTTGAAAAGGCAAGTTTATCCAAGGTCTCCTAATCCATCCCTGATTCTCGAGAATGGCTCTCTGCACTCGCAGATTAATGGTTTATTATCAAACATATAGCCACACGTGTCAGATCCTAACAAGCATTACCAGATTGCTCTAACAGTAACCAGCTGCATTTCTCCTGCCGTTCTTCAGAAGAATTAAAGGGGGATTTTCTACAAGTGGCCCGAAACCACCAAAACTCTGGGGCGCAAGCTATTGCCTCTCTGAAGTGCTACCTTCCAAAAGGAAGACGGATGCTTTTGCAAAGTTTTTTCCTGAAGGATTTTTAATGCTCCCCTGCCACATGTGAAGAGCTCTTTGTTAAATCCATTCGGATCGGACCGGCCTCTGTCCTCTAGGAGAAGCCATGCAGCGTGACAGTAGACTCCTGAACATGAGACCCGTGCTCATCCGCCTCTCTCGCCGATAAGGCAACATGTCAATCGCTGGAAGACATGCTCATCGCCTTTGCACCTCGTGCCCGGGAAGACGTGATCTTTCTCCAGGAAGTTTGTTCTGCTTCGCACATGTGTTCAAGAACTGTAGTTCCACTTCATCTTTTCATTTAATATCTATGTCCTGTCTGTTAAACCCAAAGCAGCATCAATCTCGTATTCTACAAGTGGCCCGAAACCACCAAAACTCTGGGGCGCAAGCTATTGCCTCTCTGAAGTGCTACCTTCCAAAAGGAAGACGGATGCTTTTGCAAAGTTTTTTCCTGAAGGATTTTTAATGCTCCCCTGCCACATGTGAAGAGCTCTTCGTTAAATCCATTTGGATCGGACCGGCCTCTGTCCTCTAGGAGAAGTCATGCAGCGTGACAGTAGACTCCTGAACATGAGACCCGTGCTCATCCGCCTCTCTCGCCGATAAGGCAACATGTCAATCGCTGGAAGACATGCTCATCGCCTTTGCACCTCGTGCCCGGGAAGACGTGATCTTTCTCCAGGAAGGTTGTTCTGCTTCGCACATGTGTTCAAGAACTGTAGTTCCACTTCATCTTTTCATTTAATATCTATGTCCTGTCTGTTAAACCCAAAGCAGCATCAATCTCGTGTAAGTGTCTTTCATTTCCGTCACTCGTTTTTAATTTTACACAGGAACTGGACCGTTCTTTGAGTGTGTTTCAAGTGTTGTTAGGCTGCTCACGATCTTCTTCTGAGGCCCAACGATCGTCACACCGACTTTCTTGAAGTCCCTGTGTGTCAGAGAGGAGAGAGAGACAGTGAGCATGGGTAATATAGCACTCATGGTTTGACATACGGTGACATTAATGACAAGCCCGCAGTGGTGCTCTGCCTCAGACCGCTTGTGTCAGTCATGCAGGATGAAGTATTCCAGGAGGACACCATGCTGCCATATGCATACAATAAGCTGAGGAGCTGGACTCGTGACAGACTTTGTGCTATAACTTAAAAACTGGGATGATTTACAGCTTCCTGTGATGAGAAATTGGAGTAGCTGCTTCATTTTCTGAGTTGGTTATTTCTACTGTAATTTGAAAGGAACAGCACTGTCAGGGTTACCCCGGAGGGAAAAAGAACGACATTTTTCATTTAATGAGATACATGCAACAGCTGACAGAAACTTGCATTATTTACAATCGTGACTAGACTCTCCAGACTTACCATATGGATAAGTTCATCCCATGTGCACATATCCGACTTGGTCTCAAAGGAAATACGTGACTCTACATGCGTTTTTGCACAGCGCAAAATGCGTCGCTGCAGGTACTGTCGCTGTAGTTCACAGGTGAAATGAACAGCAGTGGTGCTAAAAAAGCTGTTTACTTTCACTGCAAAAAGGTTATGAGGGAGTAATGGGTAAAAATTTGTTCTGTTCAAATTGTTATTGCATGGCTTCAGAAGACTTAGAATATACATTATCGCTCACATTTGGTGTTGGTAAGATTAATGCTCATCAAGCCTGCATTTATTTGATCTAAAATACAGTAAAATCAGTAATATTGTGACATATTATTGCAATTTAAAATAACTGTTTTCTATTTGAATATATTGTAAAATGTAATTTATTCCTGTGATTTCAGCATTTATTTGAAACTGAAACTTTTGTAATATTATAAATGCCTTTTATTGACACTTTCAATTGAATTTAAATAAAATAATAGAGAATTATGTATTAATTTCTTCAACAAATCTAACCTCACACTTTTGGATATGTTAAAATAATAAATAGTGTTATTACATATTTATCTACTTTAAATATGCCACATAACAACACATAAAAACAACAACAACAATAATAATAATAATAATAATAATAATCTATTTTACGCAATAACATATATTGTCAAATTATCAGTTTATAGTATTTGTGCCCGGCTAGTGGAAATGTTAGCAGGACAGGCAAAAGTTAAAACAGATTTTAAATTTTGTACCAACTATCCAGAAACAAATGTCTGTTGTATATCTATTTTAAGTCCTACTTATCAAGCCTGCATTTATTTGATCTAAAATACAGTAAAATCAGTAATATTGTGACATATTATTGCAATTTAAAATAACTGTTTTCTATTTGAATATATTGTAAAATGTAATTTATTCCTGTGATTTCAGCATTTATTTGAAACTGAAACTTTTGTAATATTATAAATGCCTTTTATTGACACTTTCAATTGAATTTAAATAAAATAATAGAGAATTATGTATTAATTTCTTCAACAAATCTAACCTCACACTTTTGGATATGTTAAAATAATAAATAGTGTTATTACATATTTATCTACTTTAAATATGCCACATAACAACACATAAAAACAACAACAACAATAATAATAATAATAATAATAATAATAATAATAATCTATTTTACGCAATAACATATATTGTCAAATTATCAGTTAATAGTATTTGTGCCCGGCTAGTGGAAATGTTAGCAGGACAGGCAAAAGTTAAAACAGATTTTAAATTTTGTACCAACTATCCAGAAACAAATGTCTGTTGTATATCTATTTTAAGTCCTACTTAAGCTTGAGTTTATGGGTTTGACTCTCAGTAAATGGGCACAAATGGACAGAATGGCCTATATGCATAATTACTGGTTTAAATGCACTGGAAAATGTACTGTAGTTGCCTCTTCTCAGCTTGAATTTTAGGTCCACAATTATATTTAATTAGGCTAAAGAAAAAATGCATTCCTGTATGTGGTATTTAAGTCACTAGAATATAATTTGGTGACATGCTGGACTTGTTAACCTTATTAAAGCCTCATCTGTATAAAATATAATTCAACTCAATCGACATTTCACCTGGAAACTGCAGCAATTTGTACAGCGTATTTCAGGTTTTACAAAAACTTATATTAAGTCACCTTTTCTTCCCATTAGATCCGACTGTACATTGCAAAAATATGGCAAACCAATCACTTTAAAGTGCAACTCAAGTTCAGGAGCTTTTGCAAAACAACAACAACAACAACAAAAACATTTTTCTTAGTACTGTCAGATCTAGGGATGCAAAAGCTGTGCAGTAAAAATCATTATAGCATATTAGTAGCAAGCAAATTTAAGTTACAATCTAGGTTAGGCTATGCACACCTCAGGCACGAGTTCTGTTAGCAACACTTCTAAGAAGGCGCAGCAGCGATTTAGTCCAGAAGTGGACATGAGCGCAATCAAGAGCTTGAGGGAGCAGCCAGCAATAGAAAAGCTATGATCAGAACCCACCATAAAGTCTATACGCATTAAAGTGTTGTAATTCCCATGGACGGCTCCCACTCAGGGCACGTGGCTGCTGGTCTGACTTCAGTCAGACAGATTCTATGGGCAGAATACAGCTTTAGATCAACTGACAGGCTGTTTATCGTCAATGCACTGCTAATGCACTGACATCAGCTGAACAAATGCTCAAATGTCAATCAAGACAGGCCTGCAACATTTATGTGTGACATTTCAATACGTATTGGGCTAATTTGGACCCAATTTTTAGTTTATAGTTTATACTTATAAATCTAACAGTAGTAGACAATGAGTATACAACTAGTTTACATCTAAGTTCTTCCTTTCTTTTGTAACTATTCTGAGATCTATATTACAAGTAAACCTATAGGTATACTGTTAGTTTACTACCTACTGTATACTGTATGTCTAGTTCACTTAAAAAGTACACTTTGAAGTATTCGCTCAGTAAACCAGTTTAACAGATTTTATACTTAAAGTATACTTGTAAATTGTCTTTCAGTGGACTAATTAGCATACTTATAGTTAAATCACACTTTACAAAATGTATTGATAAAGTTATCCAAATGTCGATCTGTTTCTGTGTGGGTTAGGAACACTGTGTGCACCCATGTGCTATTTCACTCTAAACTATTTCACCCCAAAGCTGACTTATTATAAACTTGAAGTTTATCAGAATGTACAACATATCCTGGAGTACCTAAAAGAAGCCAATTAATAGGCCACTCTATCAAAACACAACTACAAGCCAAGCATACTTAGAATACTAAATTATAAAGATTAGTCACAAGTATAGGCCAAATATACTTTGACTCTTATGTTTACTCCTCAGTATAAACCAATTATTCTTAAGTATACATTTGTTAAGTATATTTGATAAGTACATAAAAGTAGACAAAGAAGACACTCGTTTTTAGTTTCTTTTTTTCCAAGTATTCTAGTAGCACACTTAAAAAAAAAATCATTTATTTGTAAGGAATCCCTCAGTGGAGCTTTGTTTTAAATGGCAATTTACAACTTATTTACTATATATTATGAAAAAATGCCACTTGAGTTCTATTGACTTTTTCAAACAAAATATATTGTTTTGGAGAAATAACTCAAAAAGACACAATAAGGTATAACCACTGAATGCTGCCTGCTGTATCAATTCAGATTTGTCTACAATCTAATGCGACGTGTGAAATAAGCTAAAGCCTTCAATGATAGATTAAAGAGCCTAACGTTCTGCACAGTTTACCATGAAATTGCAATAAGAGGCCAAACATCTGGTAAACTTACTATAGCCTCATCAACAACAAAAAACAGAGGCACACAACCAAGGTAAAGTGATAAGTGACTGAATCATCAATAATGACCTGTCTCTTGCGATTCTTCATCTTCCCGGTAGACCCATTAAACTGCAATAGCTTACATGGCTTATTTAAGTTTGAACAATATTATGAAGCTTTTTTCAGGGTGCAGACGTCGAATCTTTATGACTACAGATGTGTCTAGGTCTCTCAAATTGGTGCAGTACTGCTGAAAAGACCAATACAAATTCCCATGCTGGTGTAATGCTGGTCTGTGTTGACTTTTTGTGGTTTTTATACTTGTTAGTGTTGAATTGTCGCTGGTTAGTACTGATTGGTGGTGGTTAATGTTGGTGTGCGTTTACTTTGGTTCTGGTTTATGTTATTGAATGCTGGTTTGATGCTGATATACTTTATACTGTCTAGGACTGATTTGGTGCTGGTTTTAGCCCGGTTAGTAGTGGTTTATAGCGGTGTGGTTGTTTCACTTTGGCTGGTTAGTAATGGGTTAATGTTGGCTTAGTTGATGGGTGCTGTTTACCATCAAAACTTATTGAAGCTGATTGATCTTGCATGCTCTCACTGGTGAATCTGGTTGGTAGTTTTGCTGGTTAAGCTAGTGAGGTAGCAGAAGGTTAGTACAGTTGTTAAGCATAAGCAGCATCCAGAACCCAACATACAGTATAATGAGATCTTGGTCTTTTCAGCAGTTAAAGCACAAACTCAACATATTTGTTCTTAAAATTCACAAATATTTTAATTTAATTCTGTGGTGGGTCAAAGAGTGGTGGTGTCCATTCACTACAGAAGGCCAAACACTGGGAGACAAACTGCGTGTTAAATAACCCAATCTTGGTCATGGATGAGGGCCGCTATTTGCACGTGATTATTTACGCTGACATCTGAACAAAATATAACCACAAGCAGCCTTAATTACAGACTGCTGAGTGTTTGGATGTTTAGTCCTGAGGGTAATGTGCAGCACAGTACTGCCACTGTTCCCAGACCGGCCCTTTGATCATTTAGAAGTTATGAATGTCAAATACCTCGCAATTTAAATCAAAAAGTGGACTCAGGAGATGCTGACCAGGCAATGCAAGGTTCCTAATCAACATCTACAAAGCATTTCCCATAAATGCAGATCCACACTGAGGAGCAGAACAAGGTCTTTATTATTAGATATTTGTTTGACTTTGGGGAATGTGCCCAACTCAACCCTTTAGATTGCTTCCAAGACTGGGGATTATGGGAGGACAGCACTTTTATTTTTGGCAAGAGTTCCCCCCCCCCCTCTCTTCCATTTATTGGATCACAACAGAAGAAAACATTACTAAACCACTGTCACTGGAGATTAATAACAAATGTAATGGCCACCTTTAAAGGATTTCAAATCCATCAAATCTGGGCTTCGTTTACTGGAAACTGATCTGTAAATAAATTTGTCATCGTCTTCTGCATCAGTTTTAAACTGTTTTATGCCAACAATCTTAAATTATATTGCTTGACTTTTGCCTTGGACTTAAAAGTACAGAATGCGACCCTTCAGCACAGGGATCAACACTTATAATAGAAGAATGAACAAAAAAGGGGCAACCCCTTACTTTGTGCCTCTCAAACCAAATAAATTGCTTTTAAAAAGATCAAAACTGAAGGGAAAAAATTGATTTTTTTATGTTTAACTGTTTTGCAAATCTGATGATATATACAGTATAAATAAAAATATGTTTGTACTTATGAGTGTTCACACAAATAAACTACCATTCAAAAAGTTTTTTTTATGTTATTGAAAGAATGCACACCAAGGTAGCACATATTTGATCAAAAATACAGCTAAACATAATATTGTATAATATAATATTGTGAAATATTATTACAATTTAAAATAATTGTTTTCTAATATATTTGAAGGATGCATTAAATTGATCAAAAGTGGCAGTAAAGACATTTATGATATTACAAAAAAAAATGTTTCAAATAAATGCTGTTCTTTTGAATTTTCCATTCATAAAGGAATCCTGAAAATATATATATATAAAATGATTTTCACAAAAATATTAAGCAGCAAAAACTATTTTCAACATTAATAATATTAAGAATCATTAATAATAGCTGAGCACCAAATAATCATATTAGAATGATTTCTGACACTAAAGACTGGAGTAATGGCTGATGAAAATTCAACTTTGCATCACAGCAATAAACTGCATTTTAAAATATATTAATATAGAAAACAATTATTTTTTATTGTAATAATATATTCACAAAATTACAGTTTTAACTGTATTTTTAATCAAATAAAAGTGCAGACTTCTTTCGGAAACATTAAAAGAAAAAAGTAATTCTTCCAAACTTTTGAACAGTAGTTTAGATTTTAGTTTTATAATACAAAAAAGTGAAAGGCTCTTACTCTGCTGAAGTTTTGGCCAGTGTATCACAGGAGCTGTAGCTGACCCCACTGAATGCATCTTTACAGGGCAACGTCCTGGCGCTCTCCAGCCAATCACCCATTGTATGAAAGGAAGTGATGTCAGTGCTGGTCCTGTCCAGAAGCAGATTCACCGGTCTGGGAAGAGATGAAAAACACACGTAGCGCTTTTAGATGTATTGTATTTTATGTATTTTAGATGTATTTAACCTCAACATGGTTCCTGACACAACATACCCCTACACATGTCACTTTTCGACGTAACCTACGCTCTCTCTCTCTCACCCTCCCAGCTATCTGCTGTGGTTTCATCTTTGCTTCCTTCCCCTGAACAGTTATCATCTCTTGATGACGTGCTACTGATACTTTCTGCTCCACTCTTACTTCTTGTTTAGACACTGTCTGCCCCTTGTCTTCCAGGCCAGCTCGTACCACCTCTTCTGTCCCTTGGCTATCTGATGTTCTCCGTGAGTATCGTTCTAAGCTCAGAGCAGCAGAAAGAGTATGGGGCAAATCAGAAAATCCTACTGACCTTAATGTATATCGATCACTCCTTTCTTCATTCTCTGCTAATGCCTCCACTGCTAAAAGGACATACTATCACAACAAAATTAACAATTCGCCTAATTCTCGCATGCTCTTTAAAACATTTTCCTCCCTCCTTTGTCCTCCTTCTCCCCTCCTTCATCAACTCTAACAGCTGGCAACTTTGCCACATTCTTCATTAATAAAATTACAAACCTCAGTGCACAATTTGCCACACCACAAACTGTCAAACACATCTTACCAGCAAACATACACTCGTTTTCATCCTTCTCTCCACTCTCTGAGGCAGAAGTCTCTAAACTCATCCTTTCCAATCATCCTACT